TCACTACCCGAAGGACTCTCAAAGCGGCTAACATTCTCCTTTTCCCTTCCTCCCCCACAACAAACACTTTGTGAAGTGAGTGGGGCTGAGAGACTTCAGAGAAGTGTGACTAGCCCAAGGTCACCCAGCAGCTTCATGTGGAGGAGCGGAGACGCGAACCCGGTTCCCCAAATTGCGAATCTACCGCTCTTAACCACTACACCACACTGGCTGGGTGTGATGGCTGGGGTGTGAGTCATCCCTGAGAACTTTCTTGCTCTCCTAAGATAAAATGTGCATTAAAAATGCATATATTACGGGGGCCACCAGGTGGCGCATTGGAAGATGGCCGACAATAACATCTCTCCGACCCATATGAGGTAATTAAGAGGCTGCTATGGGAAGTATGCAGTCTTCCTACCCCCCCCCCAGGAGATGGGGGGGCTGCCTTGCCAGCGGTGTCCACAATGCACCCCCGGATTCGAGAGAAGGGGGTGCAGGCCACTTGGCACGAGCCCTCTATGAAGTTGACTCTTCCTGACGCTGATTCCAATTAGCGCGTGCTGGTTTGCTTTAGCTTGGAATTATAATTGGAAACATATGATTGGAATGAAGCTAAAGCACGTACATCAAGCAACGTTCGAGAGATAAGACTGCTGATTAATGGATCTCTGTGACCAGAGTGATGGATGGATAAGTAAATCAACTGATGAACCACCATTAAGAGACTGTATGTTTGGAATGAAGGGGGGTGGATTATGTGACATTAATAACCCTCCACCCCAGAAAGAAATAAGATCGTTGCGTTTTACTATCCACAAGCAGGAATTTAAGAACTGTGTGGAGCGGATTATAGTTAAAGAGATGATTGGTAAACAACGAGAACGGAGGAAAATTTTATGACGCAGCTTAAAATGGCGTCTCGCTAAGACAGGCTTGCCTGAGAAAGAAAGACAGGGGGATGAGAATCAGGATCATTGGAATGAGAAGGATGGTTGGAATGTGATTTTAACCTGACAGAGCCCTCCTGATATACTTGGCAAGCCTGAGAAAATTAAAGGACAGACCGAAGATAATTTTTTTATGGAAGCGTGGAATGGCGGCTGTCCCTAAGTGATATGATCTTTGGAGAGTGCAAAACCCACACAGAGGATGCCTGTCTCTAATCCGCTTGTGAAGATTATCAGAGATCGCAAAGAAAGGAATATATGATAACAACAAGAAGATGAAGAAAGTAATAAAGGACTATCTGGATTGAACTGGATCAGTGGCGTAGCATGGGGGGTGCAGGGGGGGCCGGCCGCACCGGGCGCAACATCTGGGGTTAGGGCAAATCCACGGGTTAGGGGGCGCAAATCCACAGGTTAGGGGGCGCAAATCCACGGGTTAGGGGGCGCAAATTACTTGCCTTGCCCCGGGTGCTGACAACCCACGCTACACCGCTGAACTGGATAGAACTGTTTAATTAAAGCAGCAATACAAGTGATATTTGGACTCGTTCGGAGCTTGATGTATGGGTACCCCCAACAAAATTTAAAATTTGGCTGTATAATTTGGAATTAATGTGATTTGGATAATGTGATGTGATTGGCCTGTTAATAAAAATTATTTAAAAATAAAAAAATAAAAATGCATATATTACTGCAAATAGCATACAGAAATGCATTTTATTAGGGGAACCACCTCACAACAATTGTATTAGGCAAAACTGCATACGAATATGTGAACATTAGGATAAATTTGCAATAAAATGTTGATAAATTTTCATGAGGACATTATTTTAGAAAATCACAAACTGATGTGAAAATGTAAAGAACTGGAGAAACTAAGAGGAAACCAAAGCTGGCAGATTCACCCATACCTAGACAGAGCAGGATAAAAACGTAATGAAATAAATAAATACAGCATATAAATGTAGCTAATGGAAGGGATGAGTGTTTTCCATACATAGAAAGAATTATACACTTTGCATGAGCACACACTATATTTTGAGCATTTATGCGTCAGCCTCGTTTGGGCTGGTATCCAGCCTGCAACTATACAAGCTGCAAGTGACAGGAAATGAACGAAGGTGATAATAGTACAGCTAAAAGTTTGACTAAAGTGGAGAAAATGTGAGAGAACGCAAAGCAATCAGCAATGTGAAAGGATAACTCAATGCATACACATCTTGAGAGAACATGGTGGGCTTGTGCTATTTTCCTTTTCCTTTCATTAACATTCTTCAACACAAAACTCCAGAAGTTCACTAATAAAAGAGGTCGCAAATATCAGCAAAAGTGACTCAGCAGCTTTCACTTGCCGAATCTTTTTCAGAACTTCTCTTCACCCAGCTGCAGTCTGGACTCCCACGTTTCAGCTGTTCTTTCTAGCCACAGGCAGGAAATAATGATCTTTTCCAAATTAATGAATATTAAATATATATAATAGAAATGGCAATGTTAAGTGGGAACCATCGCTATGCTCTTAACAAAGACTCTGGGAAAAATAAAAGCGAGGCAGGTTTCGTTTTGTTTTCTGACAGCCCAGTACAAATATCAAATCTGAATCAGAAATGCCATTTGTCTGCGGGGAGGGGGGAGGAGGAAGAGTAACAGGGAGACAGATGTTTCTCTCATTATTTTTGTTCTGGGACAGCCATTGCTATTAAGACATGTCACCATCCTCCAGGGCCACAGATACAAATGCACAGCAGGACAGCTGTGTTTAAATTATCATTGTAATTTCCACTGGGGCACAAAAATGTCATTCGGAGGCATTCATGCAACATAACCCTTTTTTTGCATGAGTGTATCTGGCAGATTTCCCCCCTTTCATATACATGTATGAACAGATCATCATAGCGGTATATTGAAGCCATAGCCAGGTGCTTTCGTTGAGGCTCGTCTAAAAGTCAGAAATGTAAGCAGCCCAGGAGTGCTTTAGGTATCTCCCATGACTTTCGCAGTCCTCTGTTCAGCTCACCAGTTATTTCCCAAGCGTCGGGAAATTCTAAACAATGATACTTCAGCTGAAGATAATGTTTGCCAAATGCTGCTTATTTTTCTTTTGCAGGGCTGCCCTCTGCTCTGGAACAGTTGCGGTTGCCCTTTTCAAATCAAGGAATCTGCATTTAACCCTCAACTGAAAAACAGGACCCACTTATAATCTGTTTGAAGACGTTTTATGTTTACCTGCATCCCTTAAACAGAAGAAGAAGAAGAAGAAGAAGAAGAAGAAGAAGAAGAAGAAGAAGAAGAAGAAGAAGAATAGTAGTAGTAGTAGTAGTAGTAGTAGTTTGGATTTGATATCCCGCTTTATCACTACCATAAGGAGTCTCAAAGCGGCTCACAATCTCCTTTCCCTTCCTCCCCCACAACAAACACTCTGTGAGGTGAGTGGGGCTGAGAGACTTCAAAGAAGTGTGACTGGCCCAAGGTCACCCAGCAGCTGCATGTGGAGGAGCGGAGACGCGAACCCGGTTCACCAGATTACGAGTCTATCGCTCTTAACCACTACACCACACTGGCATAAGAAATGCCTGCTTGATCAGCGGCCCATGTACAGGCACCCTTCTGTTCATGGAAGGGGTTTGTATTCAATGGAGGCAACTACTCACAGTTTTCTCAGCTTCCACCCCCTTCACCCACTCCCCATGCTACTCAGTCCTCTGCAACAGATGAAGAACATAAGAAGCGCCGGCTGGATCAGCCCAATGGCCCATCTAGTCCAGCATCCTGTTCTCACATCGGCCAAGCAGATACCTGTGGGAAACCCACAAGCAGGGCCTGAGCACAACAGCACTCTCTCTTCCTGTGCTTTCCAGCAACTGGTGTTCCTTTGTGTCCTTCTCTCTCAAGGAGGACTATATGCAAAATATGACAGGGTTCCTGCGCTCTTAACAAGTGTAAAGAAAATACAAGTTTGGCAAGGGGAAAGCTCTAGAAATGCCGCACCTGTTGAAATTCACTCTGCTGCTTTTAAGGAAATTTGTCCTTCATTTTATCTTGGCTATGAGTCCTGGGAGAACTGCTCCCTGCCTTGCAGGCCTTTCCCCACCTGGCCTGGGATGTTCGTAGCAGTGAAATTCTGCCTGAAATTAGGCTGTAGGTCAGAGAAGGAAAATGTTACTTTCCCTTGCAAGACGCACAGGATTTCCTGAACTGGGTAAAGAAAAACACACCTTCCCATTGTCCTGGTTTATAGCACAGAGTGTCCTTGTACTTCTTTGTGGATACCATCAGTTTCAGTCTTGGTAACTAAGGAAAATATTCTGACGAATGTTTCATATTTTTTGTACTATTTAACTTTGCATTATATGTACTAAACTGCATTCTAGTAGTTTTCAACAGGTCTAATGTCTTGAGATCAGCTTCCTTAGTTAGAAAAATATATTAGATTCAGAGAACAATTCATCCCATCCTATTGCAGTGTGCAGCCACCATTCACTTTAGCTGTCATTAAATCCCAGCTATTCTCTCCCCCCCCACCAATAATGCTATAGAGCCCCTTATTTTCTGTAGCAGATTCATAAGCAGACATTTCAGACATTTGCTGCTGAACATGCAAAAGGGGCCTTTGAGAATGCTTGAGCCTAGGTCTGCCCCTCCAATGATACTACATGCGCCAGCAACCGCAAGCCAGCCTGTGATTGGCTGAGACTGAAGGGAACTGTTATGTACTGAAGTTCTCACCCTGGGACAGCAGGGGGATATTGTAGATAGTTATGCAAATAAGGGATCGAAAGTGACGTTCAGTGATTGGATAGTTTTAGAAAGTTGTTACAGTGACGTTGTACTGGAGCTCTATATAAGCAGGCTGACTGAACCCTTCAGTTCAGTTCTGTTCTGGCCTGTGAATAAACAAGAGCTGTTTGAAGAATCGCTGTGTCGTCTGATATGTTCACCCACAACTTAACAGGAACCACCTGAAGCATGCCAATCATTTCAATCACAAGGGCTGCCCCTGTGCTGGAAACCCTTTCTTTGTGGATGAAGGTGGCCCCCTTCAAACTCAGCAAATCTTACTCTAGGTTTGGAACAATGTTAGCGCAAGCAGTGGCACTGGGAGGGTAAAGCTAGCCCCACCCATTCCCAGACTCGTGTATTTTGGGCAGGAAACAAGCTATGATGTATATGATAAAATCCCTAGCATAAAATGTGGTTTCTCACAAGTTTATTGGGGTTAATCAATAGCGGTGGACTGCTAACCTGAATGGTCGTTTGTTCATACCGCCAGTCTTCTTATATGCAGCTGCATAGCCAAAAGGAAACAGTCTAGAAGTTGTGCCAGAATAGTGAAAATCAGGGTACAGAAAGGCAGAATAGAGATGCACCTAGCAAACGGAGGAACCTCTCAACAAACCTTCGAAGACAAAATTGGAATAAAGTCACATTTATAGCTGACAAGAATAGAACAAACAGAATACATACCCGGTATATCATATATTTTAGGAGCAGCCTTAGCAGAAATGCAAGGATATATCTGCAGGAAACAGAATCCTATGCATTCTTAGATTTATGACTGATTTTTTAAGAGTGTGGGAATGACTGCCAGGATTTCATCTCATTCATCTTTGTCTAAAGAGGCTCAAATGAATGCTGCCACCAGAGGTTAAGGAGATCCATTTGTCAACGCAAGAGGATGGGTCGGAGACAATAAAGGAAATGGTAAAACCAACCATCAATCCCTGTTATTTATTGTGATTTAATTAGCAGATTTAGACTGCATTCTTCAGAATGCTCTGCCAGGCCAAATCCCATTTACTATTACGGGGCTTTCCTGGACACTGAGCTTTGCAGAGTGGGTTGCAAGCGTGTTTCTTCCTCCCATGCCTTATCATTTCTTCTTTATGCAAAACATGCAGAATAAGACACTTGGGAATATATAGTACAGAACTCTGACAGGACCAGATCCAAGTTTGAGGGGAACTTTGGGGAAGAGCCCTCTGGTGGGCCTTTCCTATGTTGTGGACCCATCCAACATACCCCAGTGGCAGTAATAAGTAGCCCCACCACTACCACCCCCGAGTGGCTAGATACAGGAAGTGCTATTTCACTTACCCAGAATGCCTCTGTCATAGCGTTGCTCCTGGGTATTGTTGGGAATTAAAATGGTGGCTCTTGGACACAGCTGAATTTTTAAATGAGACCCAGGGCAGGCATTAATGGTGGGTCCTGCCAGGGTGTTGGGACTTCTCAAGGATGTCATGTGCTGATGCCAGGCCTGCTGATAAATGCCAAAGGTGAGCACATTATGCAATTTTCTTGATAGGATTTAATTTAAATAATAACTAAATCACTGCTAAAGACAACTGTTAGAACAGTTGATAGCATTTCTGGATGTGATTTTAATGATTTAATTTAGAAGAATTGATTTCAATTATCAAGGCAAAATGTGTTTAGTGGCCACACTTAGGCAAATTTACTTAATTTGCAGATTAAGTATGACTGAGATAGCCTCTACTTACCCACAGAAAACTAACATGACAGAAATAAGGCTTAACACCTTTTCCCCTGACATGCCATGTGAGGAGAGGTTTTGTTTTTTATGGAGCAGCATTCAGTCATATGATGCCCCATCTATACTCTGAAATGGTACAACTTGGGCACAAATTTAGCATTTCTCAGTCAGGACAGGCAGAGGTCTAACACTGAATGTCAAAGCAGAACCTCAAACATTGGAACTTTGCACCCTTGACTGCATGGTGGGATGTGCAACTCATGTCCAGCCACATGGTTGGCTGAGAAATGGATTATTCTCATGTTGCATGCTCATTTCCTCATTGAAGATGTGGGCCGCTCAGGAACAGCCCCACTATTTGTGTAAATGAGGCCCATATATGATGCTAACTACCTATCCATCACGATCATTCTCAATGATGCTAAGTAAACCATGGCTTAGTCTCAATTAGCAGGGCAGCAGAAAGATCAGGGGAGGAACAATGTACCCATGATCTGTGGTCTAGGACAGGCATCCCCAGCCTGCGGCCCTCCAGATGTTTTGGCCTACAACTCCCATGATCCCTAGCTAACAGGACCAGTGGTCAGGAATGATGGGAATTGTAGTCCAAAACATCTGGAAGGCTGAAGGTTGGGGGTGCCTGGTGTAGGAACTCACACTTCTTTTCATTCACACTAAGCCATAGTTTGGCTTATCAGTATGAGCAAACTGGGTCAAAGTAACTTCAGAAGAAGTCCACATATGGGATTTTAAAGGACCATATAGGCAATACGTAATAATTAAAACAAAAAACGGATGTGGCACTAAAAGCAGCAGTAGAAAAAAAACTTCTGCATCTTAAAAAGTGCCAGGAAACTGTTTTTCAGGAGTAGCTGTCATTTAATCCTTTCATTTATTGGATTTGTCTAGGACCTCCCCAACTCCCATGGACCACTTGAAAATTGCTGGGGGATTAGATGGACCACTTGCCTGTTGTAGCAATCATAATGTGCTGTGATAGATGCTGCATGATTTTTAAATTGTATTTCTACAGACGAGGCACAGACCACCTGAATGAAGGCCATGGACCATTCCACAGCTTGGGAAGCCCTGGCCTGGGAGACCATACCATGAAAGAATTCAAAAGAGCTGGCAATAAAGAAGGGCTTTTTTCCCCTTTCAATAAACTGTTCCCTCTTATCCACTGAGAGGAAGGACCATCGCTTAGTAGTAAAACACCTGCATTGCATAAAAAAATGTCCAGTAGCACCTTAGAGACCAACTAAGTTTGTTCTGGGTGTAAGCGTGTTTTTTGGTCTCTAAGGTGCTACTGGACATTTTTTAATTATTATTTCGACTGCATCAGACCAACACGGCTACCTACCTGAATCTACCTGCATTGCATGCAAAAGATTCAAGGTTTAACAGTAGCTCCAGGTCTGGCTTGGAACAGCCTCAGTCGGAAATCCCGGGTAGTTGCTGCAACTCAGCATAAACAATCCTGATGGTTCGTCCACACTTCCTGTTGTCCCGCCACTTTCTCCCAGAAACATGGGAACATGCCCTACAAACATGGACACAACATAGAACATCACACTCTGCTCATGCTTCCTAGAGAAAATGTATTCTGTAAGAAAAGTGTATGATCAAATAAATGCCTGCCAGTGTTATCCGATAATATTTAGGCAATGGCTAAAATACAGCGTGGTTTTTGAAGAAAGATTTCATCTCTCATCAGCAATAGGATCTATTTTTTAAATGTGCTCCCCCCACCCCCACCCCCAAAAAACCAAATGCTGGAATGCTTGATAGAAATGCATTTATTTGTCAGATCACGAAGTTCTCATAACATTTCTCAGCCTTAATAACACATCTGCTCTTAAAATGTGGTCTCTTGGTAATAGCTGGCTGAAAGTGTCTGAATTTAGGGATTATTTGAGACAACAGATTTCCTTCTATTTGGAATTGAATGAGGCATCTGCTCCCTCACCGTTGGCTTTGTGGGATATTCTCAAGGCAATCATAAAAGGGCAGATCATTTTGTACATTATGGAAAGGAAAAAAAGACCTCTGTTGGTAATTATGAGAATTGGAAGGGTATATTGGGGACCAGGAAAAATAGTACTTGATGACTATAAAAGTAGTTGCTTCATGGAGCCTCCACCCAATTTCAGGAAGATGTAGAGCACCCAGATTAACCAAAGAAGGGACCACAGCAATGAATGAAGGCCCAAAATTAGCAGGTGGAACAAAGAAGTGTGTGTGTGTGGAGGGGGAATCTGGAAATTATTTGCATTGTACCTCAGGAAAAATAAACAAGAAACTGGCTGACTCATTACAGGATGAAGAGTTAGTCATGGATTCCTGGAGAATGAGCAGATTGTCTGCCAGTATTTATGACAACCATGTATTTGGGGAGGAGATTTTAAAAATCAGATTATGGTGCACAAAATCACACACCGTCCTCCATATATTAATTTGCTTTTGTAATATTAAAAATGAAAGCAATCTCACAGCAATTTGGGAATATTACTACAGAATTCCAGAGCCTCTACTAAAAAATGTAGGCTTAACATTTACCTTGACAAAAGTTGGTATTAGAATCACAGAATTGTAGAGTTGGAAGGGACCACGAGGGTGGAGAAAAGCTTCCATGTTGCCCAGTGTGGAAGAAACACTTGCTTTGGAGGAAATTTGTTGTGGAATTCCAGGGACAAAAGTGTTTTGGTGTTTTTAAGGTGCAAGTGAACAGATACCTGCATGCATGTCTACAAAGGACCTCGTGAGCTGTATTGTCCAAGAGGAACCTGCACAACAGGTGCAGCGCCACAGTTTCTGATGTTACCATGGAACAGCCATGTCTGTACCACAAGCCAAAGATTCATTTCCTGGCATGTACCACCCCCCAGGATCAGTTCTTTAAACCTTTTACTTTTTTTACTTTGACTTCCTTTCCAGGAGCATTAAAGCCAGGCTTCCTACATGCTGTTAACCATCCTTGTCCTTTGGGCATAGGGATGGTTTACGATGTACTAATGGAATGTCTTTTCATGAATGCCATTTCCCGGTCACTCTAATGCAATCCATAAACTTATGTGTTAAGCCAGTTGTACTTTCCTGTATAAGCACCCAAGGAGTGAGCCCACCTCTATGTAACAGTCAGATTTAAGATGACACATGAACAGCTACTGGGACTGAAGAGGTGACATCACAGGATGACATACTGACTTGTTTTGCCGTGAAACTAGTGTGATGTTACAAAACAAGTCATGTCCTCTGGAGCTCAGTAAATGACATAGTACTTTCCAAATGGAATAGAACCTTCTCGTTGATATAGTACTTTCAAAATGGAGCAATGAATCTCTAGGCAATGGGATTTTCCAAATACTAGATGTAGTATCAAGCTCTGAAGATAGTTTGACACCACATGATTGATCAACCACTGGAAGAATGAATCATTATTTTAAAGTACTTTCCTTCTGGTTTAAGTATAGCCACCATTCCAGATCTGTTCCTGATCCAATCAGCAGATGGATGTGTTACAACTGGCTTTCTCGATCCCTCCTAATTAATCTTTTACATTTTCTTACAGAAGCATTTATTACTATTCTTACACTTAATCTCCCACCTTCAGGGATTTGTAGCTCAGTAGGAGAGCCCATGTTTTCCATACTGAAGGTTCCAAGTTTAGTATTTGGCATCACAAGCTTAAAAATAATAATCAGATATAAGTCCTAGGGAAGATCACTGCCCAACAGACAATATTTGATTAGGTGGATAATCCTCTAACTGAATAAGGCAGCTTCATATAGTCACAGGATGGTGATTACTACAATACGACTGTATTGCATCAGTTGCCATCCTAGCAGATCACATGCTACAATCCTCCCCTCCCCCCATCTTTTCCCCAATAGATCTTTGCATCTTTGCATTGAAGGACTAGAAGAATGACATCAGTTGCCATCCTGGGGGCTAATACACTCTGCAGAGGCTCTGCCATGAACTAGGTTTCTTCTATTATTATTTTATTTTAAAAACTTATTAAGTTCTTGATGGGGGGGGGAGGCGGAACCACTCAGCGCCTTCTCAGAGTGGTAATCCTCCCCCCCCCACTCTCTCTCTCTCTATAATTATTTTTTTAATGCAGCCTTTACCCAGCCCAAAGTGTGATGAACCTCCCTCTCCACAATGCTTTGGAATAATGTTATGTTAGGGACATTGTGGAAATTAAAATGGCCACTACCAGACCCAGATACCTGGCATTGACTGGAGCACTGCTGTCCACTCTCGCTGCTTATGCAGTCAGGCAAGCTCACCAGGGAGGGTTGTGGTGCAACCATTGCAAGTACTCTTGGATGGGGAGTACTTCGTGGGAGAGCTGCTCCAGAGGAAGAACTGTGAGGGGAGAGATACTTTTGTTCTTCATCAGGCATGGCTTTCCCACCCGCCTTGCCTCACCCTCTTGCCCTGGGAGCCTTTCCCAGACCATGACTTGGAGAACAGCAGAAGCAGCTTGGAAGAGAGAAGAGCAGCTCAGGGATATTTCTTAAAGTAATTTTATAAGTTGTGTGTCCTTTTTTCTCAATTTGATCCTTTTACATGGTTTTCTACATTTTGTGGTATTTTATGCCAAAACATTTCATGCATTTTTATTGATTATAGATTAGTAATTCTTTATTGTAATAAGTGTAAACTCTTTAATTATTATTTGCTGATGCTTCATTTTAATATTTACTATTAGATTCTAATGGACTATTGAATATTGCTTTATTTGATATAGGTTGTTTTTTTAAAGTTATTGTGACTTTTTATCTTGGATCAGATTGTTATTATTAATGTTTGATGTTTTATTACGTTTTTGTATGTGTTGAAAGCTGCCTAGAGTGGCTGGGGCAAACCAGCCAGATGGGTTGGGTATTATTATTATTATTATTATTATTATTATTATTATTATTATTTAATAATAATAATAATAATAATAATAATAATAATAATAATAATAAATTTTATTTATATCCCGCCCTCCCCAGCCGAAGCTGGGCTCAGGGCGGCTAACAACAATCAAAATAGTCCAACATTCTAAAAACATTCATTATAAAATTAATTAAATCAAATTAACTCATTGACTCATTTCAACCTGGGTTCATGCTTGGTTATAGAACTGAATTGAACTTGGTCACCCTGATGAGTGACCTTCATCAGAAGAACAGGGGGAGTGGGGCCATATCCTTCCTTGATCTCTCAGTGGCTTGTGATATCATTGACCACAGTATACTTATACACTCTATGTGAGACTGCCCTTGAAGTTGTTCTGGAAGCTGCACTTGGTGCAAAATGCAGTGAATTGACCCTCACTGTGGCAGGATTTGGCCAACATTTTACCCTACTGTTGAAAGAACTGCATTGGCTTTCAGTTAGCTACCAGGTGAGGTTCAGGGGGATGGACTTTTATATTGGTAAAGAACCAATATATAAAGGTAAAGAACCCCTGGACGGTTAAGTCCAGTCAAAGGTGACTATGGGGTTGCAGAGCTCATCACACTTTCAGGCCGAGGAAGCCGGCGTTTGTCCACAGACTGCTTACCAGGTCATGTGGCCAGCACGACTAAACCGCTTCTGGCACAACGGAACACCGTGATGGAAACCAGAGTGCATGGAAACGCCGTTTACCTTCCCGCCACAGCGGTACCTATTTATCTACTTGCACTGGCATGCTTTTGAACTGCTAGGTTGGCAGGAGCTGGGACAGAGCAATGGGATCTCACCACATCACAGAGATTCAAACCGTCGACCTTCTGATTGACAAGCCCTAGGCTCAGTGGTTTAGACCACCCTGCCACCCACGTCCCTATATAAAGCCCTATCTGACTCACCCCTTATATACCCAACTAATCAGTATGTGCTGCAGCTAAAGATCTCCCGCAGACGCTCCCTTATTAGGAGGTCTGCTCTGCACAATGTAGGAATCAGACCTTCAGGGCTGTGGCACCTGCCCCTTGGAATCTCCTTCTTTTAAATATTAGGCACTAGCTCTTTTTTGACACCTGCTTAAGACCTTCCTCTTCCAACAACATGCTTAAGTAGAGATCTTTCCCAGCCTGCATTTGTATGCCGAAAAGCCCTTATAAGAGACTGGCTGAGTGGACTGGGTAGTTGTACTACGATGTTTTGCCTCCCTCTTGTGCCACAGAAAGTGGGCTATTTGATGAGCAAAAAGTGACAAAAATCATTGGAGCTATATAATTACTGGGGGTCACCTATGGATAACAATGTTCACAGCTCAAACTGCATGGCTGTGCTTCTTCAAGGAGGTTAAAGCCACCCCATTTGAGAGCATGCTGTTTTCTAGCAGTCCAGATGCAACTGATTGGAAGTCACAGCGAGTCAACACAGAAGAAGCAACCCCTGCAAATGTACCTAATTTCCCTCGAGACCATTAGGTCTATGAAAACAAATAAAACCTCTGTAACATTTCCCCCCCTTTTTATGGTATCAAGAGTTCACTAGAAATTATTCCACATTTAATGGTCAATTTAAGAACATTAAATGTAGTTAACAATCAATTTAGCAGGTATTATTCCACTTCTGTTTATAAATGTCTAATTAAAATAGGTCATTTTGCTGTGCGGAGTGTGACTTTTGCTAGCCAATTGCAGTACTTAAGCCAATGCAGCAAAAAATTGCTATTTGAATACCCTCTTTCTCCGCCCCCTCCAAAAAAGGGGGCAGCCTGCATATATATTTGCAGTTGCTACCCCCCACTTTCCAGATCTTCCCTGTCATGCCTTCCTTCCAAAAACCTCCAGGTATTTAGAGCAAAACCACAGAGTGGAAGGCACCACATGGCTTGGCAAAAGGACTCCATAAAGTTCTGTCCTGTAGCTGTGGATACAAACTCAAGCTGGTCGTACGCAGAACTCCGACATGTTCAGCCCACTACCCCTCGGCACAGCCAAATGTTTCAGCAGCTGCCCTTTTGTCCTGTTTCTTAAATAAACAAAGAACAGATACAAATTAATGACCTAAATTTATGGCAAAGAACACTGCCTTCCCAGAGCTAACTGCCTTAAAAGAACAGATGTTAAAATAACATTTGGATTCGCACAAATGCAAGGGTTGTTTTTTTTAATGAAGGGGGGGGTGGACTTCTGTGTGAACATGTAGGCTTGGAATACCATATAGAAAATAACCTCTAAAGAAGTAAGGCATTGCTTGCCCTTTGCTGTTGCACCACAGATTGTGTGACCTTCCTATCCTGAACGGGAGATGCAAATTATTCTGCACATCACATGCTACAATCCTCTCCCCCCATCTGTCTGGTCCCCCCCCCCAATAGATCTTTGGATTTTATATTCAGTCTGGAAGGACAAGAAAAATGTTACTTTAGATAGTTATCAGATGCTGTTAGATTTGTATATCAGTCTCATTATTATTATTATAGTCATAATTATAATTATAAAATAAAACATTACCTCTTTGTCCCATCCTTCAGGAGGCAGTCTTTAGTCGTGAAGGATGCTTTCTTGGAAAACCTTGTTGAGAGTTAAGCCTGAAAAGAGGCAGACTCTTGTGAATGGTAATTATATCCAGGTGCGAAGAAGTAATTAATAGAGAGAAACCTTTAGCAAAAAGAGTGAGAAATCTTAAGTCGGGAAGAGGGGGAAAACAGATGTAAAAAAAACAACAACCATCATGCAGATCGCAAGAAAAGTCACGTGTAGGATTACATTAAGGCAGTGAGCACTTTTCATCAAAGAGACTCATAGCAGAATGTTATCCACGAAGAGGAGCTACCTGTTAATACCTTCCTTGACCCCTCCAGTCCTTTGCATTGCCATTTGAGTTGCCCGTCAGATAGTGAAGTTTTGCCAATATGCTATACAGGATTCCTGAATTACATGGAAATATTATTCGTTCAAAATAATTTGCAGACCAGCTATCCTATGCTCAATGCAATTTAATTAAGTATCAACAAACATTTTGAAAGCAGCAATTAAACATAACATGCCTTTCACAAATCGACTCTCAGCAGCCATCAAATAAAATCTGAACAGCCTTCAAATTGTCTCAGCACCCCATAGGTTTTACAATCCATCCAAAAGGCCACGAGGGAAGAAATCATAGAATTGTAGAGTTGGAAGGGACCCTAAGGATCATCTAGTCCCGTGGTTCCCAACATGGGGCACACGCCCCACAGGGGGGCAATTTGATTTTTAAGGGGGGCAATTCAAGAATGAGTTATTAACAATTAATGGCCTTTTAGGCATCCTCCACATTGTGAATAATGAGAATGATATGTCACCGGGGGTGTGTGTGTGTCAGGATTTTAGAGATGCTTAGGTGGGGCATGGTCAAAAAAAGATTGGGAACCACTGATCTAGCCCAACCCCCTGCTATGCAGGAATGTGCAGTTGTCCTGAACAGGGATCGAATCTGTGACTTTGGCATTATCAGCACCACACTCTAACAAACTGACCTATCCAGGATGGAACAGTTTCTACTCTCAGGTAGGTCCGTCCAAAGCTTTGGGGGCAATTGCAATAAAGGCTCTACTCCTTGAGGCTGATGGTTTTACCCTTCATAAAACATAGGAGCTCACTAACTGATGATAACCATCCCTGGGGCAAATACAGGGGCAGGTGGTCTCAGAGTTGCATGCTCCCCATTTCCCTGAGCGGCAAGAAACTCAGAGACAGGGCTACTGGGTTTTGCTTCCTTTGGATGACACAGCATGCTAGACACATAGTGTTTTTGTTATATCTGTCTATTTACAAATATCCATGCAGAGCATAATAGGATCAAATAGATTACTAATGCAGGCAGCACAACCACTGATCCTGCATGAGATTCCTAACTGACCTAGGGTCCTTCATCTTCAGTCAACTCACAGCTCCCTTGTCTGGCTCTCTTTCTAACCAAACTCAAGCAGCAACTGCTTCTAGTTTTCTCTCTTTCCCTCTGCCAAGTTCTGATGGACTTCACATTTCCAAGATTAGAGAAAGACTGAAAGACATTGAGGATGATCCAGCTCCTTTTGTTATATCTCTGGGTCACCCATCAAGTTTCTCAAGTAAAATAATGGGATAAACTCCATTCATGCCTACCTAGGCAGTCAAACTCATTGTAGTATGTTGGGTCCTTGGCTATGAAGGATTTTCATGTGGGAATCATAACTTGCCCTGGACAAGAAGTACTCTAAATTCCTGACAAATTCTTATCATAAATTTGAACATATGCTGTATGGATATAGTAGAACATGTCTTGCTGAAGAATGGACAAATAAATGCATGTTTAGATCATGACAAAAAAGGAAAATTTCTGGATACCTTAAATGACTGTGCTCTAGACCAGTTGGTCCTTGAATTGACAAAAAGGGGAGCAATCCTGGTGGGAGATGTAGCCATTGCTGAATTGATTAGAAACAGGGGCCTCAGTGCAAATTCAACATACAGTATATGTAGATGGACAATTGCCAAGGAAGTCCAGCACAGAGACATTTCAAAAGAGGAAATTTGTCAAAGATGAGAGGATTGGTAAAATTGAAAGGGAAAGTCGTATGGGTCAAAGGTATCCATCCAAGAATTCTTAAAAGAGTTCACATGTGAAATTTGCTGACCTAACTGAAATGTGTAACATGTTTAATTGGCCATGTTCCAGTCTTCTAATATTATTCTTTGTGCCTGAAGTGTTGCATTGGAACATGGCCAATGCAATACTATAATAAAAATTTTACTATTTATATCCCGCCCATCTGACTGGGTTGCCCCACACTGGGTGGCTTCCAACATATATAAAAACATAACAAAACATTAAATATTTAGAAACTTCCCTATACAGGGCTGCCTTCAGATGGTTCAGGGGTTGGATAAGTCCATATCCTCTAACATTTCTCCATTGAAAATAGGGACATCCTGAGATCAAATCAGAAACCAGGACGGCTTCTGTGAATCCGGGATTGTCCCTGGAAAAAAAGGACACTTGGAGGGTCTGATCTGGTGATTTAAGAAGCGCTGGCTTTAGGTGATACCACCTATATTCACACACAACACAGCCTGAAGCCAGGTTAACAAATTACAAGTCAACTCCAACAAATCCATTTACTTGCTGCGCGCCAAGTGCATTTTGTTCATGCCATCGCACACTGCACTCCATTTCCCTTCTTCCTCAACAGTCTAATATACATTTTCTTGTCAAGCGTCTTGGCAGTCAACTCCACGGTTTGCAAGATGGACTGAGAATTCCACAGGTGGACTGATTAGTGGGTGGCATTTTTGAGTTCTAGCAAGCTGTTAGCATTATGTCTGTTTGCTTTAGGTACAGATGTGAAGTGATTTGACAGTCAATTTCAGAAGTGTGTGAATTTTTTTAATGTCAAACTCTTCTTTATGGATACAGTCTCTTATCTGCCTGGCTGTCCATTGGAGAGAGAAAAAACCACAAAACCTCAATCTGGTGGTTTCCGACAATAAGGAGGGGTGGGGGTAGGGATCCAAATGCTTTCAAGTGAGGGGAGGGGAAAGGGTTTGCATGGGAGGGCGGAGGGAAATTTAATTCAATTGAGGGCTTCAATCCACATGACCAAAATTCTATAGCGGGTACAAAGGATCTGTTACTAGGAAGTCAATTTTCTGTTTACTTCACACAACTCACCCGAACACAAGGTTGCATAACAAAAGCCATAGATACAGGCAAGTGATGTTTGACAAGTGGAATTTTCTGTTGACTTGCTCGTTACATTTCCTCCTTTTGACAGAAACATTTGGAATGTGATTTTTCTTGCAGCTACTCTGAGCCCAAAATAACAACTCTAGAATCAACGCTTTGGAGGTGGAAAGGTACAACACAAACACTTGCAGTCAGAGCAACATGGGAAATATGAGTTGACATGCACAATAACCACACGTGGCACATGGTTTATTGATTGCATCTTGTCATATGAAAGAGGCACTCTCAGATCTTGACATCATACTTCCATATATTTCACAACTGTGGAGGAAAATGTAAATATTATCTATAAAAGCTGTGGATAGAGCTGGCTAATGAATGGGCCAAGATTCCTCTTTCCACATGGCAGCCCTTCTTAGAACAGCAACAGTCAACACCTGTATAAGGGGAGGCCACTTTCTTGTCCAGAAAGTGGTGTGGGAGAGGGACAGCTTGTCACATGAGCTCCTGCATCAGGAGCCATCAAGCTCTGCAGTTGGCACTGTTTCATACCAAGTTATCAAATTTATGGAGCATATGCGCTTGGGTGAAGTCATCAGTGAGGGAAAACTGAGGAAAATGGTTCCTCCCAAAAGACTGCTCAGGAAGCTGACTAGCAATGGCTCTTTGCCTTTCTGGAGCATGCCTAATCATGCAAAAGCGTGTACACGAAATGCCATACATTGGCACACTTTCTGTAGGTAGCTATTAACCAAAATATTTCATATCACACTCAAAGAGAGATGTAACATCAATATGTGAATTATTTCTCTCACACAACTTTTGTAAAGGTCGCACAAGTGAGCGCAGCAGGCGATTTTTCCTTAGCATGGCGCAATTTAACATATGACATGGCTACTGGGTGTCAGGCAGAATTGCCATGTGGCCTTTGCACCACCAATTAGCCTTCCCTGCTGTAGAGAAAAGTTCATTCAAAAGAGTGGTCATAACAGCCTTGGACTGTCTAGCTTGTTGGTTGGTTGGTTATTTATTAATAAAAACACTTCCATAAAAATACCAAAATGGTTTCCAACAAGTATACACATGCACAATAAAAACCACATACAGATTTAAAACCTGAGAGCATCAGCTAACTATAACATTGTCTGCATAAGCCTGGCTTATGCCTGGCTTAGTCTCAGAGACATACATATTAGTCTCAGAAAAAGAGAAATATATAATTGGTAAAAGAGTATAGTAAGCAGTAATAACTCCTTCTGGCCAAGGAGTTTATCACAGTCAAAGGCACTGAGATACCAATGGTGGGAAAGGAAATAGCATCACTAACAAGCCTCTGAATATGTTCTGAGGTAATTTCTGAGGTAATTTCTGTGGAGAACAATAGTCACTCCAGTGCAACTGTGGCAATAAGCCTGATCTAGCATTGGGCGTACCTTTTACTCCTAGTTCCACGTTGATTAGCTTCAGGTACAGTCAATTCTAAAAGAAAGAATTAACATGGTGGATTAACATTTGTGAATACCATAGGTGACTGAACAGCCCTGAACTCTATTTCTGTGAATGCTCATGTCTATTCAAGGAGAAGATAATATCCATTTCAAATCTTACCACAGGCTGGGTAAAAGAGGGTGTTACTTATCATAGACACCAAGCTTTGGGAACTAATTTTGCCTTTCCCCAGCAATTGTCTGAAGTACTAAGAATTTCTGAAGAACAAGTTTGCAAGGCAGGGGAAATGGGGCGGGGAGCACCTAAGGACATAGAGTGCAGGAAATATTGCAATATGTAAACTATCATTTACACACAGCCTCGCTTCTTGTGTAAGGCAGAAAGACAAAAGACAAACGACAAGTAGCTGCAATACAATGCATAAGATTGAAGCCCTCACCATCTGATCTAATTCCAGGATGAGTACCACAACCCAATGCAGCAAGCAAACACACTTGCACAAAACCAACAAA